AAGAATGCATTTCATGAAAATTACAATATATACTTATAGTTGAAAAATTTTCATTGTAGGGAATAATTTTTGACTATTTTGTATATTTGAGTGAGTAGGGACTACCATCTGTAATGTCACTGCAAAAGCAGAAACCACACTCTGTGAATAACTAGGAGTTCTGTTATCAAAATCACACGCTTGTATTTACTGTCCAAAAATCTGAATTTTTGCATTGTTGCCAACTCCTACGATGACAGCGTATTGAAGTGCTAGACCAAGCACACCTTTTTGACTCCTTAAATGGATTTTTGGAAGTCCTGAGCTTCTGTCAACATTGGAGTCTACTTGAAAAGAATTAGCAGTATGTCTAATATGAGACTATGGGAATATGCTTTTGGGGGGAATAGAAAATTCGAACCAATTATAAGTCACAATGAATGACAAAGGATTATAATCAGTTTATATACACAAAATTAACAAAATGTGCCTAGAGGTCTCCTACCCTCACCCTACTGGGGTTTTTGTTTGTGCTCAGTGTATTTAGGGTATCCATCTTCTCTGGATCAAGTCTCCCATATGCTCCTGCCTCTGCAGAACAGCTGACCTGTGTTTCCCAGAATAACTGGGGCTAGTGTTCACTCGTGATATACCACATGAAGACCCAGAAGCGTTGACCTTCAAGGTGCAAGGCTGCTGAACCTGTGGATAAAGATATCACTAACCCTGTGTTGCAAGGGCAGAATCTTAATGTCAGCATGAATGATCGAACCACATGAAATTGCCAACATTCAAGTATTTTTGTGTCCAAGTGATCCAACCTGATGTTTTGTCCTTAATTAAATCCCTAGTTCAAATCCAATTTAAAAATCACACCCTTGGATTATGGGCTCTGAAGCTACCTCTTTTCTGTTTGTGATTTCCAACTGGAAGTCTGCTGGTTCTCAGGGGACAAAGCCAATAAAGAGGATTTACCTAGGGTGGTGCAAGAATGTGTCTGCGCTCTCCAAGTTTGAGTTGGATGAACATTATCCTTTAAGGGAAGGAGAGTGTTTGGGAGGATGTAATGTGCATTTGGTGATTCTACAGCTGCAGGTTGATATGGAGCACAAACCCCTGATCTGGTGGAACATGGAATCTCGACACCACAAAAGGGTCAACCTTCCAAGCTCTGTTCTTCTCAGACACTTTATGAAAACCCTAGCAAACCCCATTTCCACCAAAACTCATTCAGAAAAGATCCTATTTTTCAGAGGGCTGAACTTCTCAGATATAGGTAGGAAGATTTGAGAACAGTGGGAAGCTACTTTCTCCATTCAGCAGTTTCTATCCATGCCCTATACCCTTCCATGACATCACCTCAGGATCCAGAGGCTTGGGACAGCCTGGGATATATTGAGATCTAAATACATATTTGTTGTATAAATGTTGCATTAATATTTAGCAATATTCCCATTTTTCTAACATATCCAACTGGATCAACAATCTAAAAATAAAATGAACAATGATGGGTTCCGATATCAGAGGAGATGTTCTCCAATCCCATTTGTATTGTTCAGACATGGCTTTATTATTTGAACCACTTTGGGTATTACAATTTGAGTTTAAAAAACAGATTTGGATGGTCTTGGTATTTAAAATACATGGACCCTGTAAAGGAGTTAACTTAGATACTTTGATCAAGGGCAGCTTTTCCCACAGGTTTGGTCCAGAATTACACCAAGATTGGCTCAAATTTCTAATAGCCTGGGTAGTATGGCAGCTCATTTAGCTTTGGCTGGTAATTTGGATACCCCAGTGATTTAAATTATCATGCATAAATTTTTGGTTACTTGACCAGAGTCTCAGAATTTAAATTATTGTGACAATAAATAAGGGAAGCTTGTTCTAGTACCAGAAGGGCTGATATTTTTGTAAGGTGCTAAACCTTTCATGTGATAATGAGTCAAAGTGCAAGAAACTCTGAGAATGGCTTTCATTTATACCTAAGAGCAATTGGCTGTTTCCAGAGCATCTCTTGTAGCTAACTAATTTCATTAGAAGAGAAGGTGGACTCATGTGAAGACAGCATGCCTTCAGGAAGAAAGAAAGGTTGAGGGTGGAAGACATGAAGGGAAAGGATTGCTGGAAATGATGAAAGAAAGGCTGAGGGGCTGCCTGGGTGGCTCAGTCGGTTAAGTGTCTGCCTTCAACTCAGGTCATGACCTGGAGTCCTGGGATTGAGCCCTGCAACGCGCTCCCTGCTCAGCAGGGAGTCTTCTTCTCCCTCCCCTCTGCACCTCCCCCCGCCCCAGCTCATGCTCTCTCTCTTAAAGAAATAAATAAAATCTTAAAAAAAATAAAGGCTGAGGGATTCTTAAAGTAAACTTTATAAAGTTTAGCTTCAACATTTTTCTTACTGTAGTTGTTGTGTGATTGGTCAAATTTAGCTTTGGATTCAGTTTTGTAGAGGAAAATCTGGACAAGAACTTAGAGGGAATCTTCACCAACAGGGCTAGAAGTCTGTATTTTCAAAAGGATTCAAACCTAAATCTTAACAAAATTACAGTTAAGCAAAGGTGGGATTTCTGTGAACTGATGGGAGATGCTTATGTGTGTATTTGGCACCCTGTAGTCAGAGGGTTTTCAGCCTTTTATTTTTTTTAAACGATTTTATTTAAGTATTTGAGAGAGGAGCAGGGGCAGGAGCAGAGAGGGAGGGAGGATGGGGAGAGAATCTCAAGCAGATTCGGTGGCCCAACATGGAGCCTGTCACAGGGCTGAATCCCACAATCCTGAGACCATGACCTGAGTCAAAACCAAGAGCTAGAGGCCCAACAGACTGAGCCACCCGAGCACCCCTCAGTATTAAAGCCTGTTGATATGGAACTGCCTCAGGTCAGGCATCCCTTGTCTTTAGCACTGTTTCATGTACTGGCCATGCTCATATATGCACTAGGGGCATCGTGCTCCTAATAGGAGGGAACCCTGCTAATCAGAGCTTGCTCAACAATGCCTTCTCTGGCAAGGCTTTTCTGTTCACTAGAGCTGAAAGTGATGTTTCCTCTCTGACTTGTGGTAGGATTCCTTCCTTCCTTTGGTCTTGAATATTTTCTTGTTTTATAATACATGAGCACAAATCCTGTTAGGCTGTAAAGTCCTTGAAGGCAAGCATCATACAATCATTTCTTGCATTTTCTATGGCAACTATGTGTAGTAACTTCTACATGTGAACTTTTGTTAAGATATGGAGTAAACATAGACTTTTTTTTTTTTAAGATTTTATTTATTTATTTGAGAGAGAGAATGAGACAGAGAGAGAGAGCATGAGAGGGGGGAGGATCAGAGGGAGAAGCAGACTCCCTGCTGAGCAGGGAGTCCGATGCGGGACTCGAACCTGGGACTCCAGGATCATGACCTGAGCCGAAGGCAGTCGCTTAACCAACTGAGCCACCCAGGCGCCCGTAAACATAGACTTTTAAACAAAAAATAGAGAAGAAATGTCAAAGCATCTTTTGTGTGGATTGGCCCAAGTAACTATAAGGATGCTTAGAACATATTAGACATTTGTTCAGTATTGAAGTGAATCCTTAATTTTGGACTATGTATGAAGATTTAGTGTGTTTTAACTGTGAAAGGGATTTTAGATGCTGTCTTGTCTATGTGCCACCTCCACCCCCATTCTTTTTTTTACAAACAAGGAGAGACTTAAAGAGGTGAAGAGACAGGATTAATATCTTCAGTTCATTAGTCACAAAGGAGGAACTAGAACCCAGGTATCCTGATTGCTGGTACTGATATTCTTTCTACTGAACCATTCATTTATTCAGTTATACTGTGCATGCCGATGCTCTACCAGTGCTCAAAGCTAGTGCTCAGGTAGAAACCATTCACTGCTCTTACAGGACATAGAGTCTTATGGACAAGATAGCTATCAAGTTTGAGGATGACTGTAAAGGGGTAAGCGGAGGCTCCAAGGATGCACATACAGAGAGGTCCCATCCCAGACAAGGAAATTGGGGCAGCCCTCATTGAGGAAATGATGTTGAAACTGAGACCTAAAAATAAATAGAGGTCAGGCAGATAAGTGGGGAACATTTCCAGTGAAGTCTTTGAACAGCTAGAGAAATTCACATGCCCACGGGAGTAAGTAGGTACGAACAATAATAGTGGTAGTAGTAGTAGTAGTAGTAGTAAGGGTAGTATTTAATATTTATTGAGTACTTCTTATGTGCCCAGCCCTGTTTAAGTGCTTTGTTATTTTATCTCATTTAACCTCATTTCATTGTCATAATCTTAAAAGTAGAAAACCATTATCACCATCCTTTAGATGAGGAAGGAAACAGAAACGAGCCGGCTACAGAGAAGAATTGATATAGATCTACTTTGTTTACATAAGAAACACAAAGAAATAATTTTAATTTACACAAAGAAATGTGTTATCTCCCATTTTCCTGCAAATGCATGATACTCTCAATTTGTTCTTCATTTTTCTTGGTTATATTACAAGGAAGAATAAAGATAAATAATTCTCTTCCACCAGAAAAAAACCATGTAAGCACGATGGCGGTGGTAACTGATGATGGCCTTGGGATCAGTGAGACAATAGGGAGTGGTGGGGACTGTGGAGAAACAGAGAGCAGCCTCCTCTGATCTCTAGTCAACCATTTGGGGAATGTAGGCCAAGTGGTGCCCAGTGTTGTGCTCCAAGTTTTCAAAAGAAACCAAAACAAGCCAAAACAAAAACAAACAAAAAAACCAAACCACCAAGGTTTTTCTTTGAAATTTCCCAATTTTAAAATTTGGCTGAAATTTAAAAGGTCAAGTAAAATATGAATCTGGCCCACATGAGGTCAAAGTGGGGAACAGACGTATGAGGGAAGTTGGAAAGGACTCAAGGGTCAAACTGCAGAGGACCTTTGAGATCATGGAATACAATCCAACGACAGCAGAAACTTGAACTGTTAAAGCCGAGACAAAAAGTAATATTTTTGTGTTGAAACAATTCCTTTGCTCCTACAGTAGGGCTCTGACAACTTCTAAATGGCATAGCTCAGGGCTGAGGAGACCTTGACACAGCCTCTATTTCAATATTTCTCTTGAAGACTGAATGTGTCACCCTTAACTTCCTCGCTTTTCACTTTCACCTCAACAAATCTTAGCTTTCCTGACAGTCTCATGTCTGACATCATGTCTGAATGACCTTTCTTTCTCCTTCTCCACAAGGACATCTCTTAGCTTCTCTCTCATCTCCTTAGGGGCAGTGAGTCTGCGCCTACGATAATGTGAATTCGTTTCCTGACAAGAAGCAGAAACTTCAAGGTGATACACACTCTCCAATGAACAGCTGTCTAATATCTACCCCTTGTCCCCAGAGTTGAAGCTTCTGAGTCAAACCAGTGGGAGAACAGCTTTGAAGAAAGGAAGAAGAGAGCAACCAGACTTCCTCACCTACTCCACAGGCAGTGCAGCTGGAAGGCTCATTTCCTTGGCATTCTCGGCAAGTGTAGTGGCAGGGATGGCATTCGTTCTGAAATTCAAATTTCCCTGAGGGACACTTGAAAATGCAGCGGCCATTGTCAAAAGTCCTAGAGGAAAAGCAGATTTCAGGGTTTGAAAGGGTGACTTTCTGGAATGGCTCTAAGTATGAGAACATGTGGTGTTCATGTTTCAGTGCACAGACTTGGTTTCATTGCTCCAGAAACAAGGGGGATGCCTGGGACTGATCATCTTAGAACATGTGGAATATTAGTCACGTACCCATCCTTGGTCCAAGGTTTGGACCCAGAAGCAGACATGCCAGAAACTGGCTCAGGATGCAATCCGGAGTCTGGTTCCAAATAAGCTAACCAGTGCCTGCAGGGATTAAACCCATAGTGTGGGCCCCAGCCAAACACAGTCAACAGTCAGATGGAGGTCTTTAAATTTTCAAGACACTAAATAGGCCTCTGAATCCAGAGGCCTTGGAGAAAATATTCTTCCTTTAGTTATCAGCATATGCACACTTTACAGGGGAAATGTCAACATCAAGGGCTCTGGAAAGGGTAGAATAAAGCACGGTCCTGGTGCTTATGTGCTACTTATAAACTTGGCCTATGCATATGGCGATTAATCGATAAAAGTGATTTTGAGTGTCATTTTTGCAAGTGTTTCCTGATGTCTAAAGTACCAACTTTTTTTTTTTTTTTAAGATTTTATTTAGTCATGTGAGAGAGAGAGAATGAGAGAGAGAGCATGAGGTGGGGAGGGTCAGAGGGAGAAGCAGACTCTCTGCTGAGCAGGGAGCCCGATGTGGGACTTGATCCTGGGACTCCAGGATCATGACCCGAGCTGAAGGCAGTCACTTAACCAACTGAGCCACCCAGGTGCCCTAAAGTACCAACTTTTTTTCATCATGTTTGCAAACACCTACAAGGACACCACAGATGAGTTAGTATGGGGGCTTCTAAAACCTTTGATTTTATACACATAAAATACATATCATAATGTCACTGTTAATATTTTCATAGTTTTGCTTCTTTTCTTCCTTTGCAAAGTAATCCCAAGAGCAAACAGGATTAGGTAAATCGTATCCAAAAACTTCGCTCAGAAAAATACAAAATGTTTACCAAGTGCAAGAGTCAGATAGGTAATGCGGTAATAAAGTGAGCTGTGGGGCTCCACCCCCAGAGTTTCTAATTCAGTGAGTCTTTGGGGGAGAGAGCTGAGAATTTGTGTTTTTTAAGTTCCTGGGTGAAGCTCATGCTGCTGGTCTAGGGAACACATTTTGAGAGCTGCTATTCTGCCTTCTGCTCACTGATAGTATGGATTACTATCAGTAATCCATTTGCTAAATGGATTTTGCTAAATGCGTCCTAAATTAGCACAGGTGGTGTCAAATTGGGTCTGTTCAAGTTTCCTTACAGTAGTAGCTACTGTCTCAGTTGTGAGGCTAACTGACCATGTAGCACACATGTACCCCCGATGGTATAAGGTTGGCATCCTGGCCTGAGAGAGCGGAGGGCCTGTCAGCAAAGGTAGGGCTCCTTTCTGTCTCTACTAACTCTCTTCCCCCAAGCCGGACATCCCATGGAAGGTCAGGTGTAGGCCTGGGGTGCAATGGTGTGTCTAAATCCCACTGTTTCTATAGCTAGAGCCAGCCCTGAGCCGGGGATGGGCCATTTCAGTCACAGGGTTGTGCAGGTTGGAATGGGAGCAAGGCAGCCTGAATAGGGTGTTGCTTGTGATCTTCCATCTCATCTCCACACCCTGAAAGTCTGTGTCATTTCCATCAGTTAGAAACAATGGGATTGGGGTGCCTGGGTGACTCAATCAGTTAAGCGTCTGCCTTTGGCTCAGGTCATGATCCCAGGGTCCTGGGATTGAGTCCCACATCAGGCTCCTTGCTCAGCGGGGAGTCTGCTTCTCCCTCTGCCTGCCTCTCTCTCTCTGACAAATAAATAAAATCTTAAAAAAAAAAATTAATTTCTATTAAAAAAAAAAGAAAGAAGAAACAATGGGATTAACACCACCAACATAAGACAGACAGCCACCTCGTTCTTGCATTCTCTGCCCTTCAGGTTCTGGTCACCATAGCGAGCACCACTGGAGTGAACAAGCCTTGGTCCCACTGCAGGGCATGAAGTCCTAGCCCTAAGCAGACATGTATGCACATCTGGTTGTCCATGTCAAAACAGATCCCCTGCACCATGGTGTATAATGAGAAGGCTGTGCTCCCAGCCCAGATTTTTAGTTGATGGCACTAATGCCAACTGGGAATATCCCAGCCCCACCCTGGCTCTGGTTTCTGAGCTAGAACATTTTTCAAGGAATCATTTGGATGTGACTAGTTAAAAAATACCCAAAACCTCCCTTTAAGAAAAACTGTGTAAGAGGGCGCCTGGGTGGCTCAGTTGGTTAAGCAACTGCCTTCGGCTCAGGTCATGATCCTGGAGTCCCGGGATCGAGTCCCATATCGGGCTCCTTGCTCAGCAGGGGGTCTGCTTCTCCCTCTGATCCTCCCCCCTCTCATGCTCTCTCTCTCTGTCTCATTCTCTCTCTCAAATAAATAAATAAAATCTTTAAAAAAAAAAAAAAAGAAAAACTGTGTAAGAGCTTTCTGAGGTTTTTCAACAAGGAAGCTACTAGATACTCTGCTGAAGGGAGAATGGGAATGTTTACTTGTGAGGGTTCTTTTTTCCCCCTAAATTCAGTTGCAAAGGGAATGAAAAGTATATCGTCATTTTTTGCCTTTTATAGAAAGAGCTGATGAATTTGCTTAGGGGGAAATAATCTCTCTTGGGAGAGGTGATCTAATACTCTTAATGATGGGAACCGTGTAGAAGCGTCCAGAAAGTGGGGGTGGCAGACTTGGGGGTGAAGCCAATGGTGTAATACTTTTGTGTATTATATATGGATGGGGCTGCCTTTCTGACTTGAGTGCTTGATTTTAAGAAAATACCAAGCACATAATGGTGCTTTAAACCACCTCCCTTCATATCTACCCTAAGGAAAGCATAGGTGAAGTACACAGGTTTTTGGAAGAATGTAATTCTTTCTAAAGATCGAAAAAGAGAAGGAAAACAGTCATGCTTGGGTAAAGGCACTGAATTACATCATCCCCTGCACCCTCCACTCCCCTCAAGGAAAATTGCTAAGGAACTTGAGAAAAGTACCATTTCAAGTGACACAGATTTCCACTGACACTAACAAATCTTCCCTAGTGGAAGAGAATAGACAATCTTGCTCTGGGCTCAGTGGGGCTGAGGACAATTTCCTGTAAAGCCAACTCAAGCCATTTCTAGGACTGCCAGTCATCCACTCTGGATTTCTGAGACAATTGGGCAAGCTAATCTCTGCAGGGGAGGCATTTCGTCCCCAACTCAGGCATGCTCTTAGCCTTTTCATAAGTAGTGAACAATTCCAGGTCCAATGGGGCTTATGGAAAGGAAGAAGTCAGCAAAACCAAGTGCTAAAGAGCTGGGCAGAGGTAATGTTCTCTGCACTGGCACTAAATTTTCCAGCCCCCCCAGTATGTGTGTGTATGTGATACAAACTGGAACATAAGAGATGGCAAATCAGGGTTAGTGGATCTTCTGCTGATTGTTGGTTTGGCCTTAATAAGCCATCACAAGGGTACTTAATGTAATTTCTTGGTACTTTAAATTTTTTTAAGACTTTCTTTATTTACTTGGAGAGAGAGAGCATGAACAGGGGGAGGGGCAGAGGGAGAGGGAGAAGCAGGCTCCCCACTGAGCAGGGAGCCTGATGGGGGGTGGGTCTCCATCCCAGGCCCCCCGGGATCATGACCTGAGCTGAAGGCAGACACTTAACCAACTGAACCACCCAGGTGCCCCTGGTACTTTAATATTAAATCAGAATGAAATCTGGCAAAAAGTCTTTCCCCCCCCGCTGAATTCATTGAAACAGATCAAATAAAACATTTGAGGGAGGGTCAGAATAGAGGTAGCTTTCAATGTTTTTAATTGGTTCATTGACTCTATGACTCCTTCAGGACTGGGTGGGAAGCCAGCTTTGGCCAGGAGGACCATGGGGAGGACCATGAGGATCACGGCACTGCAGAGCTATACATGTTAGATAGCAGTGCCAAAAGATGCTCTTTCTTCCTCCAAGTTTTCAATCATCTCTAAGGAGCTATACCCAAGGGTTAATGGAAATGTAAAGAGAGAACTAGAATACAAAGAGAGGGCTTCCTAAAGTTTGATTTTCTGTAAAACAAGTTCAGGGTTATGTTATTTTTAAAAATTTTACTAAGGAAAAAAATATATAAAACAAACACATATACAAGACACAACAGTACCCTTTCCTCTGTATTCATCTCTCAGCTGCAACAATTTCACTGCATGGTCAATCTTACTTATATCCCCACTGATTTACTTCCCTCCCATATTATTTTGAAGCAAACCTATAAGTTAAATATGAATACTTCTCTCCTAGATAAAAACTCCTTTAAGGCGGGGTGCCTGGGTGGCTCAGTCGGGTGTTTGCCTTCAGCTTGGGTCATGATCTCAGCCTGTGGCTCGCTGCTCAGTGGGGAGCCTACTTCTCACTCTCCCTCTGCTCCTCCTTCCTACTCATGCCCTCTCTTTCTCTCTCTCTCTCAAATAAATAAATAATCTTAAAAAAAATATATCCTTTAGAGATGATTTTTTCTGCCATGACTAGAGATATCCAAAAGCTTAAGACCAGGAAGAAACTTGGACAAACCAACTCTCCTGGTTATTCTGTCTGTCTCTTTACCTTTGCCTCAGATCCATTTTTTTTTTTGTCATTCTCTGTCCTGCCGTGTCCTGGAAATGTGCCAACTAGAACCTGTCTCTCCAAGCTCACTTCCCCCATTTGTAATGGTGTTTCCCCATTGGCCTCCAGTTAATTTCAGACAAGGAAAAACACCAGCAGATCTGCGGTTGGGAGGAGAGGGAGATTGGGGGTATTTATTCCCCTCCTTGGGCTGCAATTCTGCATTCTCCTTCCATGGTTCTAGAGTGGCTGTGTCCCTTACAGCTCCACTTTCTATCAAGCAAGACATCCCCTCCTCCAGGGTTGCAGCTTTTGCTTCAGGTCTAGGGTGTTAAAGCTGCCCCACTTTTGCTGGTCCCTGAGCACTTCACCATCCCTTGACTTTGAACTCCTGAGCTACCTATTAGAATTCATGGACCTTGTACCTAACTCAGAGCTGGACATAAAGCAGGTGCTCAAGACCATCTTGAATGGACCTGATTCCACTCAAGAAAATGTTTTGGAAAATACTTCAGAAAAATACTTTGCTGCCCTTTTAAGAACAAATAAGTCAACACCAACATCTTTCAAAATAGTTTTTATATCTTCATCTTCTCAACCCTGTTCTAGGAAAATGCAGATTAAAAAAAAGATCAAGTAGTTCATTGCCATGATATGATGTCCTTTCTTGGACATATCTGCAAATAATTTTCATCAAGGAAGAGAGATGAGTGAAACGGAGTGCTCAGGGAGATGAGAAGAAAATTCTTCCTGGGAAACAAGATTTCCTTAGGAGGACACATGAGTTCAAGATTCATGAACATGCTTTTCTTTCTTTAAAAGCTAAATCATGGGCTGCTTAAGCCAGTTATACGGCCCCAGTGGCCCAGGAACTGTATCTCTGATCTTCATGTACCAATGGGATTCATTTTTTTTAATGGCTATTTATGGTAGTAGAGTTTTTTCCCTCACTTTTGATGTGCCTGGGACAACCATGACTTCTGCAGTATACACTGGATGATAATAGCTGACTTAGTAAACAAATGCTAGTAAGTTCCCTTAGTTCAAAGATGTCCAAACATGCAGTGGGATTTAACTGTTGATATGGTGAGGAATTAGGAGAAACGGGACCCATATTCAGAATGATGTCTGTACCTAAGAGTATGTCCTGAGGTTGCTTTAAAGCAAATCCAACATGTAGAGGCATAGATATCTAAAAGAGACACTTGGAAAATGTTACCACAGTTAGCATTGACAATTCTTAGGACTGTTCTTTGGTGTCTGTCTCCCTTCCTCCCTCCATCTCTCTCTCCCTTTTTTGTCTTCCTGAGGAAGCTATTTAGGGAGCCAAGTCCATGATATTAATTATACACTTTATCATTTCTTGAATTATTACTATGTGTTGATCACTGTGGGGGAATAGGGAGACAAACACAACCATAGTTCCTGCTCAGGATATTATAATCCTGAGGAAGAATTAGATGAAATGACTGTTGTACAAAGCAGAGGGAATGTCCATCCTAGGGATTTATTTGCTGCTGAAGCAGCCTCATCATACTGGTCTGGAGAGAGCCTTCTTCCAATGCACTTTGCAGAGCAGTGATGGGGCTATTCATTCAAACACTCGGTCAGCCAGCAAATATTAAGTGCACCAATCAGAGGAGTGTCGACTAAAAATGCAACAGGCTTCCAACTCTATATACTAGAAATTCCCAGTGTATTGGCAGATTCTCATGCCATTCAGGTACTTATTTCCCCATTCATTCACCTTCCAAACATTTATTGAGTGCCTACTATTTTCCTTGTGCTGTGATAGGTAATGGAGATACAAAGATGAGTATTTCAATGGGCTTACCGAAATATAGCTCCTCTAGATAGAGATAGAGATTTGTAAATTAATGTTTTAAAATGTCACAGGTGCTCATGGGAGTTTATACGGAGCCCAGAGGAACATAAAGAGGAGAAGGTTCATTCTGGGAAGTGGTCAAAATGCCTTCATAGAACAGTTCATCCTTGAACTGATTCTAGAAATATGAGCAGATATTTGATCAGCAGATGGAGATGATGGGTGTGCAGAAGGGGATGCAACTGCAGGCATCAAAGGCACCATCATTTTTATTGATGAGGAAGCCCCTCTTGTCCAGGTAACTTTCTCGCAGGGGGTACAGGACATCATGGGGAGAAGATGCTACAGAGGTGGGCTGTAGCCAGACCACGGAGGGGTTTTGTGTCGTGGGAAAGAGTTTGGTTCCTTTTTCTGCAGGCCCAAGGGGGTGTCTTTAACGTGGTAAACACCTCCTCTCTCCATCCTGTCACCCATGAGCTCTCAACCACAGGAGATACTAAGAGGCCACTTACCTTGTGATGGGGCAGTCAGTGCAGTCTTCCTGAGTTGGCCCCCAGCACTTGGCACACGAGGCTTCACAGACCTGGCAGTGACCATGTTCATCAATGTATTCTCCTAGGGAACAAAATCCGGTTGTTTACCTCATTTCTACATGGCAGTGCTGCCTAGGCTGACAGTCTGAGAGCAGCCAGATCTCTCTGTGGCTGCCTAAAAGCAATGGAAACAACACAGCGAGGAGACCTTGAATGGCTTCAGTTGCCGGTCCTAAATCCTGACCTTACAATAACAACTGCTCCTCTCCCAAGGGCCTTGGAATTCGGAACCTCAAAACGTTATGAGGCAATGACATAATTTTGGATCTAGTCAACATGTGTTACAGATTTTATAAGTAGAGAGAGGCCAACGGGGGCTTCTCAAAGGACCCCTATACTGATCTCCTTCTGACTTTCCTGTTAAAGGCTGAGGGTTCTGGACCCCAGAGACCCCACTTATAGCCTTGGTTCAAGTCAAGCAACAAGCAGAACCCACCCACCATTCTGGGGGTATTGTGGTTACTGGTTAAGAAGGGGAGTCGAAGCTTGGCTAACATTTGACAGATGTGAGCTGCATCTCACCCTGAAAGAGTAACAATGAAGAGATAGCCAGAGAATCCTTCATTTAATTGGAAAGTTTATCTTTCCCAAGGAAAAACACATAGGAGGCCTTTCCACAGAAGTAAGTCCAGCCTTACAAACTCCTTATGACCATTTAAGAAATTACTCTCATAGTAAAGATGGTGGAGACAGGCCAACCTCTTTGAAGGTGATAATCCAGTGATAAACCAATGATGGGTCTCTACTCATTGAATTCAACTCTCTACTCACACTACACGTGTCCTCTTCTCCCATTGTCCTAAAAGAAATTGACAAATTTCTTCAGTCTGATCCAAAGAACCACTTGGTATTGTTTGGAAACTGATCATGCTCAGAAAATATAGTTTCAGATTTCAGCAGAATCACCCCACCCCCTGTAAGTATGTCTGAACATAGTCAAGCTGAGCTCCAGCCAGAATAGTGAGGTAGCAGTTACTCATGCATGGTTTAACCAAGGCATCTTACTGAAATTCTGAGATTTGCTGCCTGATTTATTGTAGTTGCTTTGAAGTCCTGGAAACACAGACTTGACTGGTGAGAAATGGAGGGAAGTCCACTCCTCTACATTGTCCCATAGCTTTACTGAACTAGCGCAGTTGGGTGAGGTAAACCTTATATACGTAAATCTTTCCCTTGCACTAAACCAAAAAAATGAAAATGAAGAGGTAGGTAGAGTTTGTCTTTTGATGTAGAGTTAGTCTATTAGTTTTGTTAACTAAAGGGAAAAGGACATATCCAGAGCAATGCAATTATCTAGTATTGGCACACCCTTCACATCCTAGACTCTGCTCTTCTTCATCTTCCAGTTGTTGCCAAGGAATCCGATATATAACTTTTAGAATGGAACCATGGTTCTTAGCTCGGAGTGACTCCCAGGAGCCTGAGGCCCAAAACAGTGCATCCCCAATGGGGACAAAGAATGTAAACATGCAATTCATTCACTGCACAAGGTGACTGCCCCAGTGGTCAAGTGGAGGCAGAAATCCAGCCCGGGTTTATCTCACCGAGCCATGCACTCCGGTGTTGGCTGCCTCTGCCTCTGTAGGGGACGCCTTTTACTAATTCACACAAGGGTATTAGAATGGACTAGTTGCATTCTTGGTCATCAGAAAAAAAGCTTGGTTTCCAAGGCAAAAAAAGGCTGGGACTTCTGTCTGGTAGGAGTGGGTGATTTCAAGTTGAGACTGTCTGACTCAATATAGGTGTCATATTTATGCGGCCTTTTATTTATTAAGGTTCCCCATTCCACTTCTTAATTACTGCCCTTGCTGTAATCTCTTCCCCTTCTGGCACAGTGTGACCTTTGCCACAACCAACTGAGCAGTAATTATCAGTCCAGACACTAGCAAGAAAACGAGCAGGGGATCTAGAACAGACCTGGTAGGAAGAAGGAGGTCTTGCCTACATTGCCAATGCTAATAATTTGTGTTTATGGAGTTGGATGGTAGCTATGTATCTTTCAAAAGGTGTGGACTTAGTGGAACAGGAATGAGAGATGGGTTTCACGGAGGCTTCTAAACCCAAAGAAAGTGTATTCTAAAGAAATGTAGGATCACAGATTCTTCATTCATTCATTCATTTATTCATTCATTCTGTTGATATTCTTTGAACACCTAGATGCTAGGTATTAGATGGACTAGGTATACTAGTCGAATATACTAATCAAATATATACTAATTGAAAAGAACCTGCTCTTGGGTTCTCAAAGATTTTTGAGAAGAATGATTTGTAAAGAGATAGTAATAATTCAAATGCTAGCAGGAGACTTTGACTTCCTCAGACAGTCTAGATTAGAACAGAAGAGCAAGGGCATACACTGGACTCCCTGCTAGACCTGGAGGCAAAGATGGTTACTTTGCCTTGGCATTCATGCCTATAGGAACTGACACAGTGGTTTGGTTCTCCTAACTCCTGATATCCGTCCACCTTAATCTCCATGGCGTCTTAGATCCACTGCTAGGATAGGATTTTAAGCTAAATGCACCCTGCTCTGCTAAATCGAATGCTGTTTAGATGGTTATGGGAATTTTTCCATATCTATGCCCAAAGTGTCCTTTGTAATTACAGAGGATGCATGGCTAGGTCAAGCAAGTGTTATTCAAATAGTATTATGAAAATTTAGAATTCTCTAGATCTCTTGTTTGCCTCCTTATTGGCTTCTATAAGCCAGTAGGTGGCACTGATACCTTGGCTTTGTATTTGATCTGCTCAACTGGAATGCCCTCTATTGGCACTCAGAAAGTGCCACCTTACATATAATCATCCCTTGAAATTGCCCCATGGCTGAGATTTCAAATAACCCCTCCAAAACACCCTTCTAATGACCCACTATGACTCTAGCTCACCCTGCTTGATCACCCTTTCATTCATCTGTCCAGTTGCCTCTTGCATTTCTTACGGGGGCTAGGCCAAAACTTCCCAAGACCCAAGTCCCACTCATTTCTCAGAAGGTGACCTCACTACCTCATTTGCTGATAAGATACCGAGTTTCTCCAGCATCCTTTTTCTTGATGCCAAAATCCCTATCTTTTCTGTGATTGTTCACTTGTCTTCTCTCTCTGTGGAAGGTACATTGCTCCTGGCCATTGTTGGCTGTCCATCTAATGCTCTGGATCTTTCTTCAGGATGGTTCTCCACCAGTCTCTTTGTCTTCAATTGTTTCTTCACATCTCTCATCATCCTCTGATCTACAAAAGTTCTCCCTAACCTAAGACCTGCCCAAGCACTTTTCTTCCCTGATAACTGACTCTGAAAACATGTTTTTCCCTCCTACCATTTAGACACAAAATGAAGAAAACCCTCATAACCTTGAAGCTTATGTAAGTGAGTCAGCGTAGGACAGCTAAGCTGTGCACCTCTCTCAAGCCTGCATGCCTCTTAACTTTAGAGCAAGGCTTGGCTTTGGAACAGATGAGAATAGAGGGACCTGCCCTGATTTTCATAGTTATGTAGATGTCCAATTAGTTATATAAACAACTGTCCCCAACCCCAGCCCTTGCAGGCCCAAGTTTTCCACTGCACATTTGAAACCAAAAAAAGGCAGATTCCAAGGACATAGTGAAGTTGCTTTTTTTTTTTTTGTTTGCTGGAGCAGCAAATTCTTGTCATCTGTCTTCATTGCACAATGAAACTAAATATTTATGACAAGCGTGATATACAAAATTCTTGGAAAAAAATCACTTTTAGCACAGACTTCAGGGGCCAATATTTTGTTCTCCACTTCATCCTACAAGCTCTTCCTTCTGGTGTCTTCATCTATTATTCAGTCCAAATTATCTTTCTACTGTGATCAAAAAAATTTCATTCCCCTTTTAGTTCCTTTCTCATCTCATCCCATAATAGTTCAAAGGACATGCAGGAAGTGATGTCTCATGGGGAGAGAGGTGATGTCTCAAAAGCTGAAGATACAGCTTAAAAATTAATGCTTGTCCATTGAAAAATTTACAGGTCGCTTGCTGTGCTCGTTTCACCTCTTGATAACATTGCACAATGTGTTTGTGTTTGCAGATCTAAGTTAAAAGTAAGCTTTATGAGATCATCCAGAATATGTACACATTTATTATATCATCCACAGCTACGAAACATGATTGAGACTCATATAATAATAATTTTTAGGCAGATATGATCAGAAGAACTTCCATTTCTCCTGCAGAAATGTTAGGCTTTCTTTTGTACTTTGTAATATCCTTTATGGATTAGAGCCAAATTTGTTATAACATTTGAGCAATACATATATATATATATATATATAGAATATATATATACTCTAAATAAATGAATAAACACAGAAGTAGATAATGTGAGTATAAAACAACTTTTGGCAAGGGTGATTAGTAAGAAGAGAAAATGGGAAGAGCATTTGACGAGAGATCAGCCATGTGGTTTTGATCTGGTTATTTCGGTGAGCCACCTTGGGATACTGCATTATCTGTAGGCTTCTATGTATGTGCTTTATCACTCAGATGCCAGGAATTACAGAATGTGACTTCCCTGAGTGACTCTACAGCCACAAAGCTAATCAAGTAACACTATTTCTTAGCAAGGATGCCAATACCTAGTTTCCAACTTAAGATACTGCTGTGTGAAGACAGTTCTCATGAAAAGAAATCCATACATTTATTACTTTTCACTAGCTATAATAAGTACTCAGTAGTATTTTCAAGTTATATACTAATGAAATAACTCAGTTTTTAAAGCCTTTTTGAGTGTGACATTTTATAGCAAGGCTCAAAATATGAGGCCGTAAAGTGAGACTACAGCAGCTTTACTTATAAGTCTACACAATTATTCAGCCTGAAAAAGGGAGGAAATTCTGACACGTGCTACAACATGGATGAACCTTGAAAATGTTAAGTGAAATAAACCAGTCACAAAAGAACAAATGTATGATTCCACTTATATAAGGTGCGTGGAGGAGTCAGATTTAGAGGGATAGAGAGTAGAATGGAGGTTGGTAGGGGCTTAATGGGCACCCCGTTTCAA